AAAGCGGCGTAAAACTATACTCACTCACTCTTCTTTTACAAGGTGACCCGGACTGGACAATACAGGGCAGGTTCTTTACCAAATGTGGAAATGCAATGCTCGCGATGTGAACGTTCTGTTGACTGTGAAGCCCGCGACACTTCACTAGTGTTGACAGTTTCTTTTAAAGGTGTTCGAGCCTGCACTGCCCTTGTCCCAAAATAACATTTCTGATTCGTTCAGAGTTACATCATTCTATTGTCTCATGTCTTGCCGCATGAGAATTACTGAAAACTAACCATCGATGATTCACCGGTAACGGAATTTTGCATTCAGATACTCCCAGTTATTATGCTCTTTATCTCTTGATTTATTACCATTGCTTGTGTGTATGAGTGTGTGTCATTGATATTGTACATGACATGCAGAGGGGAAGGGTCACTTACTTTGTACATGAATTATGAACAGTCCCTTAGAAGGTGCCTTTTTACCTTATAACGGTGGCTACGATCCGGGTGGGAGTGGACTCGTGTCTTTGCGAGGATTAGAGATGTTTACAAAACAAATTAAGAAATTTGAGATGACCCCCAACACGAAATGCTTTACACTACAATACCTTATGACAAGGCAGGACACTTCGTTCTACCCCACCCGCCTGCTTTACCGATCGCTACGGTACCATCGCATACAATCGATTAAAGCTTAATGTAAACATAATCATGGATGATTGGCCTATCGATCACCACTCATGACACCTACTTACACAATAACCAACGAGGTACGAGTGATTACGGGAAATATGCCCGAGTTGAAATAATGTTCACAGTGCCGAGCCTTGGCGTGCTTCGACCACACCCCCGTTTTGTGCGGACACATCGTCATCCATTTGTGTCAAGAACGTTTAGTTGAGGGTCAAAATCGGGTTTCAATCGACTTGCAGAAATAACAATAAAGAATTGGTAGATGTCATGAGTGGTGATCGATAGGCCAATCATCCATGATTATGTTTACATTAAGTTTTAATCGATTGTATACGATGGTACCGTAGCGATCGGTAAAGCAGGCGGGTGGGGTACACCGAAGTGTCCGGCCTTGTCATAATGTATTGTAGTGTGAGGCATTTCGTGTTGGGGGTCATCTAAAAAAAATATTTTTTAACCTTCAGTCTTCTCAAAGACGCGAGGGCCTGCGAGTGGACCGTCAGGTTCACAGCAAGCTCCCACATTGTTTCGTGTATGTACTATAGGCATTACGTCCTGTATTAAAGGCATTACGTCATGCCTTAAAGGTATTACGTCATGTATTAAAGATGATGATGAGTTCATTTATATGGCGCCAACTCCATACACCATGTGTATGCTCATAGCGCTACAAATATACTACAATATTAACTTTGTCAATGGGACATAAACACAAGGCTGTAGATTTTAGTCCAGGTATGACTTTCGGAAGAGATATGTTTTCAGCTGAGACTTGAAAAGCGAGAGTGTTTTGAGTTCTTTGAGTTCAGTTGAGAGTGTGTTACATAGAACTGCAGCATTATGATTGAAAGCTCTTCGGCCAAATCGTTACAAGTTAGTCTTTGGAATGTGAAAGAGGTGCTGGTCTGCAGAACGAAGGACTCTGGACGGTTTATACACTTGTGTGAGTTCGACAAGATATGATGGGGCTGATCCATGGTAACATTGGTATGCCAATACCAATAGCTTGAACTGCACACGTGCCAGTACAGGGAGCCAATGTAAATTGATGAACACAGGTGTTATATGCGCGGACTTCTTTGTTCTTCACACAATCCTTGCCGCCATGTTCTGTATCCTCTGTAGTCTGGAGAAGTGTTCCTGTGAGATGTTAACCAGCAGGCTATTACAGTAGTCCAGTTTGGATAGGACTAGGCTTCTGACCTGCATGTGAGCGGCGTTAGTGTTCAGGAGATGTCTGATACTGCCAATACTTCTCAGGTGAAAATGGCATGCTTTGCAGATCATACTAACATGATGCTCCATTAAGAGATCACTTTCGTGAGAAGGACGCCCAGGTTCCTGATCACAGTTTCATGATACCTGAATCGTGCAAATCTTAAAGACTTTGTTTTTGTTACTCTTTTAACCATTACATATGAAAGATTTGTGGTTGTCTTATGCGGATATTCTTTAAAAATTGTGGTTATTTAATACCGAGCGATTAAAGTTGCCAAAAGTCGCCTGCTTCCCTCTCGCCCGCCAACGAAACCACAGACAACGTAACTCCGACTGCAGTGACGTCATATGAGGAACGATTTTCAGTTAGTTGTTGTAGCACGCTCATCATTTTGATGATTTCTCGACATCAACGACGACATGCTGAATCGTTGCTTTTTCAATTGCAGGGGTCGGGTGTATGCACATCCAGTTCGTGCTAAATGGGTTATGTTTGTGAGTGCGAAGCTGAAGCCTGAAACGATATTTACTTGTGTTCAGATCTTCACGGAAGTTAAAGAATCAAAACTACTTACTAGTAAAAATGCATATGATTGATGACCATAAAGATTTTCTATGACACAACTTGTAACATAACGAGAAGTGAGGTTCTGGTCGAAGTAACAATAAACATCGCTGCCACGAGAGAAATTGTTATGTATCAAAATCTAGCCATCAATAAAATACGTAACTGTTTTGATGTAACGGTGGAAACAAACCTAAATACCATTTATCCTCAGACTCATGTTCCCGACAAGAGTCGCCGCCATTTTTAAAAATAAAAAATCTGTTAGAATTAATGAGATTATAGTTTGTTTTCATCAAGTTAGAAAATCAAAACTACTTTCTACTCGTAGTTAAATATGTATTGGAATCATAATTGCAGACACAACTTATAACATAACGATTTCTTTCGATAAATTTCTTGCTACATTCCCATGGTTAATGTCCACTCACCAGTATGTAGATACTAGTCAATGTGCGTCTTTATATTTGGTCTTATAATCCAGATGTGTGAATTTATAACGAATCATAATTCGCACACACACCCTGTCTCATTACACTTGAAAACAATGATTCTGTTGAATGCTACGACAAATGAATAAAAACAAAATGCAAATATTAAAATTAAAACAGAAGGCCATAGGTTCCAAATGATGTGTCTTTTAACAGTTTAATATACCAGGTATTGATGTATAATGACAGCCAATAATGGGCAATCAATCAATGTATAATCCTTTGAAAGAAGGACGTTGTTTTGCAGAGTGTATTCAGTATAGATTAGTAAATCTACATACATAAACACTACATTTTGACAATTCTGTGTAAGATAAAAGTAATTAATCAATCAGCGTGTTATCGGTTAACTTAATCTGATCAACTGCAGACTGAGAATCCTTTGGAAAGAATGCTTTCATCAACTGAGTATCATCAGCGTAACTGTGATGACCCACATTCATGATGGAGATTAGATTTCCAAGGGCAGATGTGTATAACGTGAATAAAATAGGCCCAATGACAGATCCTTGCAGCACTCCAAACTTGGTATCGGTTGGATAGGTATGATGTAAATCATTGCAAGGCTACTCCATCAATCCCAATCACTTGCTTCAGAGTATCAATCACCTTCTCATGATCTATCGTGTCAAAGGCCGCAGACAGATCTAACAGCACAATTAACCCGACTTGCCCGTTGTCACATGATATAGTCATGTAAAGGCATTACGTAATGTATTGAAGGCAATTTGTCATGTATTAAAGTCATTATGCCATGTATTAAAGGCATTATGTCATGTATTAAAGGCATTATGTCATGTATTAAAGGCATTACATCATGCATTAAAGGCATTACGTCGTGTATTAAAGGCATTACGTCGTGTATTAAAGGCATTACGTCATGCATTAAAGGCATTACGTCATGCATTAAAGGCATTATGTCATGTATAAAAGGCATTACGTCATGCATTAAAGGCATAACGTCATGCATTAAAGGCATTACATCATGTATTCAAGGCATTATGTCATGTATTAAAGGCATTACGTCATGCAAAGGCATTACGTCATGCATTAAAGGCATTATGTCATGTATTAAAGGCATTACGTCATGTATTAAAGGCATTACGTCATGCATTTAAGGCATTATGTCATGTATTAAAGGCATTACGTCATGCATTTAAGGCATTATGTCATGTATTACAGGCATTATGTCATGTGTTATACAAAAAAACTGTTAAAGGTTTGGTTGATAACAACCAAATCTTACGTTAAAAAATGGCGAAGGGAATATCCGTATGATATTTACGAGGGATATTAAAATATTAGTTTCGCTTGCACGAAATCGGAGTCATTTCATTTCGCTTCACACATTTTACCCGTGTGGGGAATCGAACCCGGGTCTACGGCGTGACGAGCGAACGAACTGAGAGAGGAATCAGAGAGAGGGATAGCAAGAGATAGTGTGTGTCTGTGTCAGTGTGTTTTGTGTTTTTTCACGAGTGTTCTGTATGTGTCACGTACAGTGAGTGGGTGGGTGAATTCAGTTTTACGCCGCTTTTAGCAATATTCCAGCAATATCACGGCGCAGGACACCAGGAATGGGTTTCACAGTGTACCCATGTGGGGAATCGAACCCATGTCTTCAGCGTGACGAGCGAACGCTTTAACCACTAGGCTAACCCACCGCCCTGTGCCACATGCAGACGCAGACAGAAAGGGCTGTAAACACCTTTAGACAGAAAGAATTTCCAGCACTTTAAAATACACCCGTTTGGGGACTTTTGTTTCGAATAAGACTACGAAAGGCTATTAAGCTCATTGAGGACATAATTTTCCATCCTCTATCTATAAATATTTTTGGGGAAAGTCGAGGATATTTCTTGTCCAGGATATTCAGATATATTTTATTTGACTAAACAATAACTTAACGTCGACTGCCTTGTTTCTTTATGTTTGAGTTTTGCATGCATCAAACCTAAACATGACGCCCGACGTGTAAACCTCGTTTTCGTAAAAAGTCCTCATACCTTCCCTACACTCCTCTTTGTTACAATGAATTCATCCAAATGCATGGACTGCACGTGCCCATGTGTCGGTAATCGTTTGCGCAGTTCACGTGTCTGGATCTACCGTGATTGATCTCAAAATGATCAGTCGGAAAAGACAAGTGTTGTACATAATGGTTGTCGTCTCTGCTGTGTCGTTTTTCTACAACAGCAACCACGTGTTCAGTGAGTATGATCATGTCCTTGGAAAATGTGAGTAGATATGAGATTACGGGTCAAACATCTCGGTATGAGACAACAGCAGACTCTCGTGACGACAGTACGAAACCAGACGTTTCTTTTTCTTCCGTCACTTTATACAGACGATTCAATTTCTTTATAGCGAAACACTGGTGTATCAAAATATTTCTGAAACAGGAATTCAGTGTCTTTAAAAGAGCTGTTAAGTACAGGCTTTAATAACAACAGCTTAGGTTTCCCCATCAGCATCAGAGATTTTACGACCGCTCCTTGTAATTTTGTCATCACTTTGTGCTTCATCTATCAACTGATCCGTGAAGACCCGGGTTAGAATTGGAATTGGTAACCCATGCTTGTCGTAGGAGGCGACTAACCAGATAGGGTGGTCAGGCTCGCTGACTTTGTTGACTCGTGTCATCGTATCCCAAGTGTGTAGATCGATGCCCATGCTGTTAACTGGATTGTCTGGTTCAGATTCGATTACATGTATCAACAGACCATATAGCTTGAATATTGCTGAGTGCGGCCTTCACCAACAAACTATCAATCAACCAATCATCTACTAACTCAGTTAAAAACTTTGCAAATCGGGGAAACCTTGATTGAGACCTTGCTTAATTGGAAGTTTAACTACAAGAATGTCTTCTACAGACCATTCCCCGCACAGCGTGGCCCCGTACTCCCTTGTGCAGTCCCTCCAACTGACGCTGCAACTGCCCCGAAACACAACGTCCAGGAAGGTCATCGTACAGAGCTACATAAAGAATCTACAATCCCAGCTTGTCGGTAGGGTTCAGCAGCAGTATCAGGTAAGTTTAATATAAGGACTTGGTGGTCCCAGCACAGCGCTCGGCATTAATGGGTACAACAAGGACTGATCGGCTTGGAGTCAGTATAATGTGTCTGAGTGGGGTATTCATGCTAAACTGCGGATGGTATCTCAGTGAGCTAGCACTATAAAACCAGCTTAAGTCTGGGCTAGTACAAGCAGCCACACATCGTCGAAATATTAAGTGCGACGTTAAACCCCATTTCACCTCACTTGAGCAGACATAAAATTAAATCTAAGTTCATTTTCAGTTTGAAACCATAAGTGGAAATTATCTAGTAGCCCACGGACAAGTAAGATACCATTATTTGATTGCCCGAAATGAAAACTGACTTGTCCCGGGCGTCGGGCGATGGGATTTTGAACCCCTGACCCTAGTGGTTCATATCTTTGCTTGCCACGCCGCAGGCCCCGGTTCAATTCCCCACAATGTGTGAAGCCCATTTCTGGTGTCTCCCGCCATGATATTGCTGGAATACTGCTAAAAGCGTCATAAAACTAAACTCCCCCACTCATACTTAATTTTGGCATGGTATCTCAGTGAGCTAACACTATAAAACCAGCTTAAGTCTGGGCTAGTACAAGCAGCCACACATACGCACGCATGCACGTCGTCGAAATATTAAGTGCGACGTTACACCCCATTTCACCTCACCTCGCCTCTGTTTTTGAGAAAAAATATAAACTATATTAAACCTTCTTTGAGAGGCCTTTAGAAGTTGAGGCAGTAAGGAAGGATAACAATATATGGATGAACAACTTCTTTATTGCTTTGAGAGCGACGTTTCGGTGTAGGTTCTAACACCGTTATCAAGCAAGTGTTAGATAGTTAGAACCTACATCACTTGATTGATAGTTAGAACCTACATCACTTGATTGATAGTTAGAACCTAGTGAGAATATTTCGACGACGTGCATGCGAGTGTATGTGTGGCTGCTTGTACTAGCCCAGACTTAAGCTGGTTTTATAGTGCTAGCTCACTGAGATACCATCCGCAGTTTAGCATGAATACCCCACGCAGACACATTATACTGACTCCAAGCCGGCCAGTCCTTGTTGTACCCATTAATGCCGAGCGCCATGCTGGCACCACCAAGTACCATAGTTTATCGTCTTTTGGTATGACGCGGCCGGGGGATCGAACCCGCGAACCGCTCTCCAGGCGGACGCTCTAACCACTACACCACGAAGGCGGTTCCGAAAAACAGAAGCGGGAGAGCGAAAGGTACACGGACTGTATCTATAGTCCGGTGATTAGTCATGAACGAGAGTGAGTTTAGGTTTACGCCGCACTCAGCAATATTCCAGATATATGGCAGTGGTCTGTAAATAATCGAGTCTGGACCAGACACTTCAGTGATCAACAGCATGAGCATCGATCTACGCAATATTGGGATACTATGACATGTGTCAACCAAGTCAGCGAGCCTGACCACCTGATCCCGTTAGTCGCCTATTACGACATGCATGGGTTACTGAAGACAAATTCTATCCCGGAACTTCAGGGGTCCATGGTCGAGAAGGCCTTGGTTTTTCATATTCTATTATAATGCACGTTACCAAGCAACATGTTTTAATGGTATTTTAATGCAAAACAATAAAACACATGTAAAAGTATATTGATATATCTGCAGTTTTATGCCATCTCCAAACCATCTTTCTACCTACGATTTCGTGTAAATAACCATAATTACGTTGGATTGACTGATTCATGTAAGCGGTTCTTTTTCTCACTAAATTTGTATTTGTCTTATAGTAAAGTGGGAAAACCTGGAAGACGTTCTTATTCTAATTAGTGCGTGTCGACCATTGAAGCAATGTAGATATTGTGAAACTTTGTTCTATTACCGACGAATATAGTTTATATTATATACAGTCCAGTATGGTTCCCTGGACATGGCGTTTTTCTCGTTGATAGACCCGTGAAGGTCCGGGTTAGAATATTGATCTTCAGTCACCCATGCTTGGTAAGAGGCAACTAACGGGATCGGGTGGTTGGGCTCGCTGACATGGTTGACACATGTCATCGGTTCCCAATTGCGCAGATCGATGCTCATGCTGTTCATCACTGGATTGTCTGGTCCAGACTCGATTATTTACAGACCGCCGCCATATATCTGGAATATTGCCGAATGCGGCGAAAAACTTAACTCACTCACTCATTGAGGATACGATAATGGGAGTATAAGTAGTGCTTTACAGCATGATAAACGGGCCATCGGAAGAAACAATGTATTAGACATATGTGTAGGATATAAAATGACCCGCGGGCATTATTGAAAAGTAAGCCCGCTTCCCAAGGGATTATATCTTCCGCTTCCCAAGGGACGAGGGCTTACTTTTTAATAATGCCCTCGGGTCATGTTATATCCAACTTATAAACCGACCGAAGATATAATTTCAATATTTGGTATTTACTGTTGAAATCAACTGGGATGAGACTGGCAGCCGACACCTTGCCTTGCACGCGCTACCCGTGTCCTGCACATGTGCTGCCCGCACTACCCGTCCTGTGAGGAACACATGGTTTGTGCTGACAAACAATCTTATTCTTCGCAGCGATCCTTCGTAGCCTAGTAGATAAAACCGCCAAGCTAATAAGCGAAGGGTTGCAGGTTCGAAACCAGATGTCGGCACTATATGTTGGAAGTTTTAAATGTGATGCTTTATGATCGCATTCAGTGATAGCAAGACAAAGTTATATCAATCTTCAAAACAAAGTAATACCGAAGTAATATCCCGGGACAGAGGGACAAGATTGAAGTAATATCCCGGGACAGAGGGACAATATTGAAGTAATATCCCCGGGACAGAAGGACAATATTGAAGTAATATCCCGGGGCTAGAGGGACAATATTGAAGTAATATCCCGGGACAGAGGGACAATATTGAAGTAATATCCCCGGGACAGAAGGACAATATTGAAGTAATATCCCGGGGCTAGAGGGACAATATTTAAGTAATGTCCCGGGGCTAGAGGACCCCCTAATCGACGGGCCATCGGGATATGACTAAAGTACTGTCGGAAATGCTAGAAAATGCTTTTTAGCCTTCATACTTTGATAAAGGTGATAAATGTACTATGTTGTCAATATATCAACTCGCCTATAGTGTACCTAATTTTTATTTCAATCGATTTAACATTCCCATGTATTTAAAGGGCAGTTTACAGGAGAGAATATGGTACCAAAACAACAACAGAAATCTGAAATAGTCTTTACATTTATGCTAATAATACAGGTGGTGTAAAAATATGAATCAACGTTTTTCTTTAACAAATAAATGTTGAATATTTGTGTTGCTTTACTTAATTATCGTTTCTTTATTGAAGAAATATTAATATAAATGTTAAGTCTTGATAAAAAAGTTTCCCGTCATGCATGCGCATCTTTATCACAGCGTCCACTATGGCCAACTATTTGCAGTCAGTTGTTGCAAAGGTTTATAAGTTTTTGTGCTTGAAAAAGACAAAGGTAAACCTTTCATTAGTTTAGAAAGGGTTTATTACAGAACTTGTAGAGCTGTTGGTATGTCTTACCAACAAGTTTACAATATTGTACACAAATCAGACAAGACAGAGACCGTCTCAAAAGCAAAATCGGGACGTAAAACCATCCTTGACAACTTTGACAAGGGAGTACTTAGACGGGCGGTCTACAAACTTTATGAGAAGAATAATATATATATTCTAAATAAGCTACACCAGTGACTTCGTTAAATCTTTGGCCCATGTTCTCAACTAGATTAAACTGACCGAATTACATCCATATTTTTGCGATGAAATATACTGTTGACATGCAAAACATTTATTAAAACGTTGCACATTATTTTCTACAACCAATCGATAAGATAACACAAGTGATAGGAATCTTTCCAATGAACAGTAATTCGTATGTTTATTTCAAAACAAACACACATACACACATACACAAATGATCCCTTACATAACCAATACGTATACTATACGTACACATATTCAACATTTTGAAGAAAACATCTATTGAGATGATCCCTTCCCCCGAGCGTTTGCTCAGGTGTCAATTTCACCTGTCGATACCGTGCATGCTGATGACGTAGCACAAGCAGTTAATGTTTGTATCAAATAACGTCCCACTACCAGTTATTTGTCTAATTTTTTGGTATTTTCATCAGTAAAAACACATTTTAGGGCATGTCTCAAAATTTATTCCCTCGGTCTACATTAGGTAGATGTTTCTTAAAGTGATATTTGTTATTTATGTAACTGTAATACCTCTGAATTTTAAATATAAGTCAAAAAGCATTTTTCTAGCATTTACGACGGTACTTTAGAAATACTGCCTTGCAAGAACAATAAAGTAACGTCACTGGAGGTTTATGATGTTTATGATGTATATTAATTATAACACAGCCAGCAACACGCGATCTGTCTGTTTCTTGTTTAACGCAGCACACATAAATAAGCCTATCCCTATATTATAAGTTGTTCACTGGTCACAGGGCTGTGGGGTAGCCTAATGGTTAAAGCGTCCGCTCGTCACCCGGCTTCGATTCCCCACATGGGTACAATGTGTGAAGCCCACTTCTGGTGTCCCCCACCGTGATGTTGCTGAAATATTGCTAAAAGAGGTGTAAAACCCAACTCGCTCACTCAACCATCACTGTGGCTAATATTTTTATAATAGATAAGTATCTTTTCACCCAATGCGTGCATTGTTCAGTGAAATAATCACACTGGAACATCTCCAGTCACTAAAATCCTTCCATTCGCTCAGCGCCGCTCGTTCTTTGTCATGCGTATAAACAAGAGGTGAAACTGTTTGGCCATGACGCTCAACAACGTCTAATTATAAACTCGCTCGCGTGCATCAAACTCTATAAGCCCTGTGCAGAGAGAAACCTAAACGGATCTTATGTTGATATATACGCGACGAAGTTTGGATTTTACGAAGTCTACAAAACATGTCCATACTAGCATAACGGTAGGTATATTTTGAACATTTCAGCCACGTGACCTGAACGTCACATATATGGATACAATGAGAAATTCATACAAACAGGGGCTCCTTACTGCTTTGTGAAAGGTCCAGATCATTTCATATATTACGCACGCGATAGGTGTTCATCTAATAAACGTGTATACGGCTAATGAAAATGGAATTTGGGATTGTGGGGAAGATTCAAGGGTCCGTTACACTCCGTGCCTTAAACACCCGATGACAGAAGAAAATTATTTCAATTGTTGTGGTCTTGCTTCGGGCCCATCTCATCGGTTCCCAAAAAGCTGATACTGTCACAACTCGCTGCTCTGGTTGTTTGGCGCAAAGACGAGTATCTACTTTCCCACGTGATACAGCTCCGGCGTACATTATGTTTGTCAAAGCTCATCATTCTGAAAAGACCACTTTCTCTTTAAGCTTTCATTTTGGAAACGCAAGCTATTATGATTATATATTTTCAGGCTGGCGACAAGGAGGTATATCTGAAGAGGCGCAGCCACGTGAAGAACGCCTGCAAGAAGCTAAACCGTACTCGTAATATAACCCCCAAGGAGCTTCGCCTGCAGACCAGCGTCGTTCGAACCCCCAACCTGCTTTACTGTGCAATACCAAAGTGCGGGACTACTTTTTGGCGGAGAGTTGTGGTAGCACTCACGCGGAAGGATCCATCTATAAGAAGCCCATTCCTGCTTTCCTATTCAGACTTCAATGTTAACAAGGCTGCTTTCAACAGAACCCTTCTGAAACCCAAGAATTTCCACGCACTGCAGCACTTATTAAATAATTCTTTGAAATTCGTCTTCACACGGGATCCATATCACAGGTTGTTTTCATCATACGTGGACAAAATCTACGCTCCAAATAATCAGTTCTGGGAGGTTATTGCCAAGAAGGCCGCGTTGTTGGTCCGGAAGGACATCCGCGATCCTAATGCCACATGTGGTCAGGATCTTACGTTTAGAGAAATGGTTCGTTACCTGAACACATTGTCACCTCAAAAGTATGACGAACATTTCTTGCCGGGTTCTCTGAAATGTGACGTGTGCAGCGTAGAGTATGATGTCATTGGCAAAATGGAGACATTTATCAAGGATATGACTTACATATTAAATAAGTCTGATTCAGTGGGACGTTACTTACAATTTAACGACGTGTCCGCTGAGTATAAGGTAGACTACATCGTCGATGCCGTCACAAGAGCGTTTTTGTTTAAAAATAATGACAATAAACGTTGGAAAAGTTGGACCAAGTGCATCAGTACTCATGCAGCCAATCAGAGGATATGGCGCCAATTACAAATAGGTGGGTACATTGACAAGACGGACCCTTATCCCTTAAGCTCTCGGGAAAGTGACGTCATATCAATGACTGAATACATCAACATGGCGCTGAAGGCATTTAAGCGGTCCTCCAAGAAAGCCAAAGCTCAAAAGACCGAAGCGTATTTACAGGCATATAGTGAACTATCTCGTGATGATTTAGAAACTCTGAGAGAGAAATACTTGGACGATTTTTATTTGTATGACTATAATGATAGACCTAAAGATCTATTTGAGCAGGTCCGTAAAGAGAAATTATGGGATTTCAATTACTATGATCTGTTGAATGTGAAATAGAGGTATTTTCCTCACTCATAAACAAGGTCCATAAGCTTGGTTGTAATGTTTGTAATGTTTGTAAGGTTTGTAAATAAATTATCATTGGTACTTGCATTTCAGTTTGTGTGTCTCTCTGAGTATTGAGTTTGTTATCGACTAAAAAAGGCAGTGGAATATGTTTATGTTCAAGCTCTGCACTAAACATTTATAATTATAAGGATGTATGGGTATAATCAGTTGGGGAATTAATGTTTATCAGACCGTTTAGATTGTGAAATGCAAACCACAGATGATTCATTTATTAACAAACTAAATTATGGGTCATGAATATTTTAGGGTTGTATTTTTTGCAATTGTTAGCTGAGTCTACGCTGAAAGAGAACACACACCAAAAATAACAATACCAAACTTTGTTCAGTGTGAATCCCCTTGTAATCACAATCTTTGCTGAGTGTGAATCCCCTAAAGTACTGTCAGAAATAGAAACAAACTGTTTTTAGGCTGTTACTCTGTATCCCTAACATTTACACAATTACAAATAGCATATGTCGAAATAACCCACATCGGCCTAACTGAGCGTTCAGTAGGATGCTTAATAGGATATCCAAAAAAGCATGTTTTCTCGTAAAATCGGGCAAAACTTAGAAAAATACGAATAGCTGCTGAAAACAATAGATCGAATATATATGGCAATTAGGTCACTCAGCCAGATATGACGACGGGCCGTGAGACTCACCTGGCATGAAATGCACGTGCTGCCTACAGGCACAAGGGGTCATCTCAAATATATTTTATGTTTTTTTCATGTGCGTTGTATATGTCTCATCTATTAACATCTTACGTGTCTTTCTTTCATAAAGTTTATGTTGAGATATGTAAAAGAGTATGATAACCATAGAAAAGCTTAAATTAGCCATCGTATTAAATGTCTAAAAATATATAGGTGACATGACCACCCGAAGATCGACAGGACTGGATATTATTTGTAAATTGTTATGACATGCCGTTTACTTCCCCAGTTTAATTCCCCTGAAGGATTATCTCTTCTTAGCGGATATCTCTATCCCCTAGCCCGACCCCCAACACCGTCTGCGACACCCGTCCTAGTTTTGCTTTGAGACGACCCCTTCTATCCGTTTGTTTTTATAGTGATAGTGCGGCTCCATGGTAGCTACATCCTTAATAATTTCAGTCTTAGAGTTATTATTTTTTTACGTCAGCTAGCGTTTATAATGAAGTTAATTTTAATTTCAAAATGGGCATTTAAAAAAAGTTCCTTTGTAATACAATATCATCGCACACTAATGTGCATAGAGCCCTGGGCCTAGATTTTCGAAGCTCTCTTAGCGCTAAGATTGTCGTAAGTTAATGTCAATGTATGGCACTTACGACTATCTTAGCGCTAAGAGAGCTTCGAAAATCTAGGCCCTGGTCTGTTCCAAATAAGTCGCTTTCGACTTAGAAAAAACTGCATTGCTCATTTCTGCACTAATCTCTCCTCAGTAAAGTCCTTTTTCTACGTTTCCTATCTCCCTACCACCGAGACTGTAGTTAGAGCGAACTTAGTTTCACATTATCACATTAACTACATAAATTGTAGATAAAAATGCGAAAAATCAGGGTTTTTTTATTTCCGACAGTTCTTAGGTAATCACAAACTTGGCTCAGTGTGAATCCCGTTGTAATCACAAATTGTGCTGCGTGTGAATCCCCGAGTAATCACAAATTGTGCTGCGTGTGAATCCCCGAGTAATCACAAACTGTGCTGCGTGTGAATCCCCGAGTAATCACAAACTGTGCTGCGTGTGAATCCCCTTGTAATCACAAATTGTGCTGCGTGTGAATCCCCTAGTAATCACAAATTGTGCTGCGTGTGAATCCCCTAGTAATCACAAACTTTCCTCAGTGAGAATCCCCTAGTAATCACAAACTTTGCTGAGTGTGATTCCCCTAGTAATCACAAACTTTGTTCAGTGTGAATCCCCTAGTAATCACAAACTTTGTTCAGTGTGATTCCCCTAGTAATCACAAACTTTGTTCAGTGTGATTCCCCTAGTAATCACAAACTTTGTTTCAGTGTGAATCCCCTAGTAATCACAAACTTTGTTGAGTGTGAATCCCCTAGTAATCACAAACTTTGCTGTATGAATCCCCTAGTAATCACAAACTTTGTTCAGTGTGAATCCCCTAGTAATCACAAACTTTGTTCAGTGTGAATCCCCTAGTAATCACAAACTTTGCTGAGTGTGATTCCCCTAGTAATCACAAACTTTGCTGCGTGTGAATCCCCTAGTAATCACAAACTTTCCTCAGTGAGAATCCCCTAGTAATCACAAACTTTGTTCAGTGTGAATCCCCTAGTAATCACAAACTTTGTTCAGTGTGATTCCCCTAGTAATCACAAACTTTGCTGAGTGTGATTCCCCTAGTAATCACAAATTGTGCTGCGTGTGAATCCCCTAGTAATCACAAACTTTCCTCAGTGAGAATCCCCTAGTAATCACAAACTTTGCTGAGTGTGATTCCCCTAGTAATCACAAACTTTGTTCAGTGTGAATCCCCTAGTAATCACAAACTTTGCTGTAATCACAAAGTGTGATTCCCCTAGTAATCACAAATTGTGCTGCGTGTGAATCCCCTAGTAATCACAAACTTTCCTCAGTGAGAGTAATCACCTAGTAATCACAAACTTTGTTGAGTGAGTGTAGAATCCCTAGTAATCACAAACTTTGTTCAGTGTGAATCCCCTAGTAATCACAAACTTTGCTGAGTGTGATTCCCTAGTAATCACAAATTAATGCTGCGTGTGAATCCCCTAGTAATCACAAACTTTCCTCAGTGAGAATCTCTAGTAATCACAAACTTTGCTGAGTGTGATTCCCCTAGTAATCACAAACTTTGTTCAGTGTGAATCCTAGTAATCATCACAAACTTTTGCTGAGTGTGAATCCCCTAGTAATCACAAACTTTGCTGAGTGTGATTCCCCTAGTAATCACAAACTCTTTTCAGTGTGAATCCCCTAGTAATCACAAACTTTGTTCAGTGATTCCCCTAGTAATCACAAACTTTGTTGAGTGTGAATCCCCTAGTAATCACAAACTTTGTTCAGTGAATCCCCTAGTAATCACAAACTTTGTTGATTGTGATTCCCCTAGTAATCACAAACTTTGTTGAGTGTGATTCCCCTAGTAATCACAAACTTTGCTGTGTGAATCCCCCAGTAATCACAAACTTTGTTCAGTGTGATTCCCCTAGTAATCACAAACCTTGCTCACTAAATAGTAACAATAATTCTGATGACATTGCATATGTCTTTCACCAGACTTCTAATGTGATTTAGCTAAGAGTATTCAAATTCCCACGTTTTTGGTTTGTTTATCAGATTCATATAGACTTATGTTGTTTTTCTATACTATCTAAACACATATCTTTAAGCTCAAGAGTTCGTTAATCTTAGGGGCGGTGGGGAAGCCTAGTGGTTAAAGCGTTCGCTTGTCACGCCGAAGACCCGGGTTCAATCCCCCACATGGGTACAATGTGCCCATTCCTGGTATCCCCCCGCCGTGATATTGCTGGAATATTACCAAAAGCGGCCTAACATCAAATTCACACTCGATAAACTGGAATCTGGAAATTTGATTTGTCTTATTCTTCCTTTCAGACATTACCGTTTCAAGGGTTAGAGAAAATGTACAGATCCAGACGAAAGTTGGTTAGGGACATATGTCGAGTCCGCAGAAGTGGGAAAATGAAGGCAGATAAACTCCAGCGTCAGATTAGCGTTCTGAAAAACCCCAACTTGTTTTATTGTGCCGTGCCGAAAGCCGGGAGTACTTTCTGGAGGCGCGTGTTTGTAGCAGCCAAAAGAAGGAAATCTGGGTTATCATCCCCGTATTTGTATTCATACTCAGATTTTATAACCAACAATTACGCTTTGGATATAAAACTGACAAAATCTAACCGAAAGAAAGATTTACAGAAAACTCTCAAGTCTACTTTCAAATTCCTTTTCACACGTGACCCGTATCATAGACTATTTTCTACGTATATTGACAAAATGTTCGCTCCTAATAGTGTGTTTTGGGAGTATACTGCCAAACGGGCTATAAAGAAGGTTCGGACTGATGGGCGGTTTTACACTGGGTGCGGAGCGGATATTAAGTTTGTGGAATTAGTTAGGTACTTGAACACGCTTCATCCCAATAATTACAACGAGCATCTTATCCCGACAACAGGGAAATGCGACGTTTGTAGTGTCGATTATGACGTCATCGGCAAGATGGAGACCTTCACGAACGACGCCATGTATATTTTGAACAGAACCGGTTTGCTCGGGAAGCAGATTGTTTTCTACGACATGAGGACTGAGCATGAAGTTGATTACATCATCGATGCTGTCGTCAGGGGTTTCCGTCTTAAGCATGTTAAAAGGAGTGCTTGGATCAATTGTGTCAGCAGCCATGCGGGATACCAACGAATATGGCGGCAGTTGCAAATCGCTGGACTGATAGACAAGACACGCCAATATCCGCTTACCTCTCTCGGAAGTGAGACCATCAGTGTGACGGAATATATAAACATGGCACTTGAAGCCTACAGACTGTCTAGTCCGTTATCCATTCTCAACAAGAAGGAAGCGTACTTGCAGGCCTATTCTCAGTTATCTCTGAGAGACTTGGAAGCCATCAGGGAGAAATACCTTGATGACTTCTATACGTTCGGGTATCCTGATCGGCCACCCGAACTTTTCCACAGAGCAAGTATTCCTCAACAAAATATGTTTGACTACTTCGACCTGTTATAATAAAGCTAGTATGAATAACCGTTTTACACATATTATGTTTTTGTTTGTTGTTCAAATCCGCACTCAGCAATATTCCAAATATATGTAGGCGGTCTGTAAATATTTGAGTCTGGACCAGGCAATCTTGTGATCAAAAGCAGGAGCTTCGATCTTCTCAATTGGGATACGATGACATGTGTCGACCAATGTCAGCGAGCCTGACCACCCGATCCCGTTAGCCATCTTTTACGACAAGCATGGGTTGCTGAAGACCAATTGTAACCTCTGATCTTCACACTGTCTGGTAAAACGTTGTTAATTTGGAATCCTGTTGGAATTATATTAGATACAAGGAACTTGATTGTTAATCTGCTGGACACTCTCTTGGCTAGTTACATGACGCGGACAAAGACAATACTTACACCTCTACACCAAAATGGGCTTCACACATTGTACCCATGTGGGGAAGTGAACCCGGGTCTTCGGAGTGACGAGCGTCAGGGATCGGGTGGTCAGGCTCGCTGGCTTGGTTGACACATGTCATCGAATCCCAAACGCTTAGATTGATGTTCATGCTGTTGGTCACTGGATTGTCTGGTCCAGATGCGATTATTTACACACACTGTCGCCCTATAGCTGGAATATTGCTGAGTGCGGCGTACAACTAAACTCACTCTCACTCTTGGCACGTTTTTCTGAACCAGGGACTTCATACACCTGCTTCAAGTTGAAACTATACTGACACATGTAAGGAGTGAAATGAATGATAAATTTTATGACCACACAAAACCCAGTAACACATCAGGGTAAGAGTAACAGTTACTATATATTTTCAGGTGTTCCAAAATGGCAAGAGGCAATGTGCTCATTAACAAAGAAACGTAACACGAAATACAGACACTATCTGATCCACTGATAGTCTAATAGTCTACATTGCTCAACCAGTAAGGGGCGTCTCTGGACTTTCGGTCGGGTATGCAGCTGACTTTTAAATAAAAACGGCTGCTTTCAGGACTACTTCAGTTTCATGACATCAAAGTAGTCAAAACCAGTCCAATGTTTTCTGTTTTCGTTGAACAGTTCCTCAGGGCGCGTGTTATAATCAAACATTTCAAAATCGACCATATAGTTTTGGCGGAGATTGTCCATTTCTTTAAATGACGCTATCGAATAGGCTTGTTAAAAGGCTTCTTTCTTGTTGGCTTTAGCCGACGGCCCGGATTTCTTGAAGGCCTCCAGTGCCATGTTGAGATATTCAGTCACGGTGATGTTGTTACTCTGCTCGGGTGAAAGCGGGTACGACTGTATTTTCTCTATCATCCCTCCTATTTGCAACTGACGCCATAATCTCTGGTTTCCTGCATGAAGACTTAGGCACCGCGTCCATCCCTCCCTAAGGTCATACGCCCTCACCACAGCATCAACTATGTAATCCACCTTATACTCAGTGTTCATATCTCTGAATATTATATCACTGTTATAGGACCCTACCTTTTCAAAATATACCGTGTGTCATCTTCGAACGTTTCCATCTTGCAAATGATGTCATAGTCTACTGCGCATGCGTCGCATGTGTACGCAACCGGTCGAAGGTGAGGGTCAATTGTTTTAAACTGACGAGTGTTTAAATACTTGACATATTCATCAAACGAAACATCGGATCCACAAGTCTCCTTGGTATTCATATAGGATGATCTAAACATCCCAATCGCGTTTTTACCAAGACCCCAAAGATAAGGGTTCGGCGACAGAATTGTATCTATAAATACGGAGAATACCCTGTTGTACGGATCCAGAGCAAAAAAGAATTTAAGAGTGGTTTCAAAGTGGTTAGTCATGTCTTCCGCTTTAGTCGTCTCGGTCATATTGAGTGGAATCCTGGCATTGGATTCTTTGAAGTCACGATACGATAGCTGAAAAGGTGAAACACTCTTTGGGTCCTTCCTCCTCGTTACCTCTTTAGCTCGTCGCCAGAATGTTGAGCCAGATTTTGCAATGGGACAATATATAATGCGAGGTTGGTCCAGGAACCAGTGAAGTTCACGTATTTTCACTGCAGACATCCGCTTTATATTTTCTTGTTTCTTACAATTCTTAATCAAATATTGTTTCCGCTGAATATATATTCTGTCCTTTTCAACATGTAAGTAAATGATTGAGGCATGAAAAACGAAACAGTCACATTTTGATGAATGATACCCCATTAAATCCGACAACATTACAATCTCTTTTCTTTACAATCTATATTTTACACTTTAGACTTAATGGCCAAGGTGTATATTATACTAATTTCAAAGTATTAATGGTGTCATATTTGTTCATGGAATGTTTCCCAATCAAAACCCTGTTTTACTGATACCATGAAGCCAAAGTACAGATCAGTTCACATCGCAGATGCCCATGAAGATGCGGGTTAGAATTGGCCTTCAGCAACCCATGCTTGTCGTAAGAGGCGACTAAAATAATTTTTACCTCAGGACAAGAAATTTAACTCTTCGCACCTGTGTCTCAGGACTACAGATTTAAATCTTCGCACCTGTGTCTGAGCACTACAGATTTATCTCTACGTACCTGTGTCTCAGGACTACAGATTTAACTCTTCGCACTCGTACCTCAAGACTACAAATTTAAATCTTCGCACCTGTGTCTCGGCATTGGTTTGTTTATCAGATTCATATAGACTTATGTTGTTTTTCTATACTATCTAAACACATATCTTTAAGCTCAAGAGTTCGTTAATCTTAGGGGCGGTGGGGTAGCCTAGTGGTTAAAGCGTTCGCTCGTCACGCCGAAGACCCGGGTTCGATTCCCAACATGGATACAATGTGTGAAGCCCATTTCTGGTGTCCCCCCGCCGTGATATTGCTGGAATATTGCTAAAAGCGGCGTAAAGTCAAAACTCACTTACTCACTCACTCAGCACTACAGATTTACCTCTTCACGCCTGTGTCTCAGGACTACAGATGTAACTCTTCACGCCTGTGTCTCAGGACTACAGATGTAACTCTTCACGCCTGTGTCTCAGGACTACAGATGTAACTCTTCACGCCTGTGTCTCAGGACTACAGATGTAACTCTTCACGCCTGTGTCTCAGCACTACAGATGTAACTCTTCACGCCTGTGTCTCAGGACTACAGATGTAACTCTTCACGCCTGTGTCTCAGGACTACAGATTTATGTCTACGTACCTGTGCCTCAGCACTACAGATGTAACTCTTCATGCCTGTGTCTCAGCACTACAGATTTAACTCTTCACGCCTGTGTGTCTCAGCACTACAGATTTATGTCTACGTACCTGTGGATGTTGTACCCAGTGCTCCAGTTGGGTTTGAAGGTTATGAATGTAATGCTTCACAATGACATCTCTCTTTTTGACATCTTTTGATAGGTTATGGGTCAGCTGCAGCTGCTGGTGGACCGGCACAGGTAGGAACTTGAAACTGTCAGTGGGATCTAAAAAAATGTCAATCAGTTGTTAACTTAACATTCTCCATAAGTCACTGTCCCGTACCTTAGGCATGTCAGTAGACTAGCATCTAGCCTTTGAAATGAACATATACAGTATATTTTAGTTACTTTCAAGTATGCATATTGAGCAGTGGGGTAGCCTGGTGGTTATTGTGTTCGCTCGTCAAGTCGAAAACCCTTGTTTTCCTTCGAATCCCGATCGAAATCAGCAACACATGGGTACAATGTGTGAAGCCTATTTGTAGGGTCCAATTGCGCCGCATGCGTTGATATGCTGGAATATTACCAATTAATAGCGGCATAAAACTAAACTCACACATGGGTACAATGTGAATCATGATTGTTTGAAGATAATAAACTCACACACTCAATCATGATTCTTGTCACTAATCAGTGTATTGAGTTAGTAACTATGATTCTCTCTCTCTCTCTCTCTCTCTCTCTCTCTCTCTCTCTCTCTCTCTCTCTCTCTCTCTCTCTCTCTCTCTCTCTCTCTCTCTCTCTCTCTCTCTCTCTCTCTCTCTCTCTCTCTCTCTCTCTCTCTCTCTCTCTCTCTCTCTCTCTCTCTCTCTCTCTCTCGTGTGTGTGTGCTGTGAATCTTACCAATTAATGCATAAAACTGTGTGTGACAGCTGTGAGAAATATGCCAGAATATGAACAGGTTTATAGAGACAACCGCTGTGTGTATTGTAATCTAGTCTTTCATTTTACAAATGAACACAAGACCTTCAAGTGGTTTCATATACAATCTTTTCTGCAGTTCCATTTGGTAGCTGGTACATAATATTGTCGCTGCTTATATTAGGCTTAGTGTATCAACACGGGTATGGGAAGAGAAATAAAGAATACTCACAAAACGCCCGAAGAATCCATATTGTTTGCAACGCAAAACATACCCTAAGACAAACTCGTACAATGTGCATGACTGGCAGAGAAGCCTAAAGCTATATGAGACAGGACAACTTGTCAGGAGCCGGCTGGTTTAATATTTTGCTCGATGTTGTTTCAAAGAAGCCATGAAATTATTTCCAGAGTCTTAGGGCATGAATACACAATACCTTTTAGAAAGTGGCCAAATGGGATTATATACTTTTAAAATTCATTTCTCGGTAAAGTACAGATTCTAGTTCTTTGGATGTGTGGGTGTTGTGTGTGTGTGCCATCTGGTATTATACTCTTCAAGAAATGAAACCCATAGGCATTTTCAGCAGTTCATTTCGATATATGTTCGCAGCAATCCTTTGTGTGAATCCCGTTAATCATGTCGTGGTTGTTGTGTATCCCAAAGTGTGTTTGTAAACGTTTGTCATAAAAAAATGAAAACGATACATGAAAAGTGCATGCAGAAAAACTTTTCCACGTAATGCACGTGCAATGTGTCGGAAACATGAGTAGAGACATCGCCTATAAAAGGCCAAACCATATTCATCATTACATTTGCATGCTTAAATACGTTTAATACATTTCCTTAGTCCAGATATCTCTTTCGCAAGGGAGCAGTCATTTTATCCAAGTAAACATCAGATTCACTAAACCGCACTTTTATTGTTCAAAAGTAAAACTCAATTAATACATTTTTGCAATTCAGTGACAATTTTGCCTAATTCGATTTTACAAATGTCAAAAAACATTTTCAGTAAGTTTGCTTCACAAAATATCATTCCAACATAATTATGTTGTGAGGTTTAGGATTCCAGAAAGTTGTGGATAATAAACTAAATTTATGTACATGAACATTGTTAGTAGACATTGAGTTAGTTATGGTGACATAATACTCTTCTTTACTAGCTGGTTCCGTGGCAGGTATTATACAAATGACAAGTTACGATATTGAACTTTTACTTCATGCTTAATTCCATAATGAAATAGACACATGATCATTAATTATGCACAACCTACTTTCAGATTAAAATGGTAACTGTAACACATTTTTCTCTGTTCCTAAAATATTTTTAGTGCTGCAAACTTGACAATGAAAAGATTGTGTTACGAACAGTAGCTGCAGATGTTGCAAAGTTTGCCATTATGCCTATACTAACGCATGCAATAACATAACGCTTACAAAGCAGGTCATATATTCTATCTCATCTTCCACAGCCTAAACAACCCGTGAAGATCCGGGTTAGAATTGGGTCTTCAGCAACCCATGCTTGTCGTAAAAGGTGACTAAAGGGATCGGGTGGTCAGGCTCGCTGACTTGGTGGACACATGCCATCGTATCCCAATTGCGTCGATCGATGCTCATGCCGTTGTTCACTGGATTTTCTGTCCAGACCGCCGCCATATAGCGGGAATATTGCCGAGAGCAGCGTTAAGCATCAAACAAACACAGTCCCATCTTCTCGGGTGGTGGGGTAGCCCACTAGTGGTTAAAGCGTTCGCTCGTCACGCCGAAGATCCGGGTTCGATACCCCACATGGGTACATTGTTTGAAGCCTATTTCTGGTGTCCCCTGTCATGATATTGCTGGAATATTGCTAAAAGCGACATAAAACTAAACTCACTCATTTACTCACTCACATATCTTAGAAATAGGGTTATTAAAATGCAAACAAATACCAATGAATGTACAAACTGACGCCATTGCACAATCAATCATAATACACAATTCCACTGATAAAGAAGCGTTTGTACAGGTATTTGATACAAAAAACTTATTTTACAAACGTGCCTGGGTTATGAATACAATGATCTATTTTGCAATTTCAGAAACACAAACAGATCGACAGTTCACGAAATGTTGTGTATGTTCGCATGTGTTTCATACAATAAAGCGCGGAAACATACAGATCTGGAAAAGTACAAAGACATAATGTTGTAAATTCCTTTTATGAATGTGGTTGAACATTCGTACTGTGGTCATTTGCTAAAGCTGTCGGCTTCCATTGTGTTTCTGAAAGTCACAAATGTATATTCGTCGTCAAAACTAATAATAATTTCTAATCAATAATGTGCATTGAAAAAACAAGAGAAATTAAATATTGATTGGGTTCAGATTTATTTCTGAGTCTACAAATATATGCAGGTCTAGGCTTCCTCAGCTTCTCCTTCCTCCTCATCAAATTCTCCCTCTTCCTCGGCGGTGGCGTCCTGGTACTGCTGGTACTCAGAAACCAAGTCGTTCATGTTGGACTCGGCCTCAGTGAACTCCATCTCGTCCATGCCCTCGCCAGTGTACCAATGGAGGAAAGCCTTTCTCCTGAACATGGCCGTGAACTGCTCGGAGATACGTTTGAAGATCTCCTGGATGGCTGTGCTGTTACCAATGAAGGTAGACGACATCTTGAGACCACGTGGTGGGATATCACAGACGGCGGTTTTAACGTTGTTGGGGATCCATTCGACAAAGTAGCTGCTGTTTTTATTTTGGACGTTGAGCATCTGTTCGTCAACCTCCTTCATGGACATGCGACCTCGGAACATGGCAGCCACGGTCAGGTAGCGGCCGTGTCGGGGATCGCAGGCAGCCATCATGTTCTTGGCATCAAACATCTGTTGGGTGAGTTCGGGGACAGTCAGGGCACGGTACTGTTGGCTTCCTCTGGATGTGAGTGGAGCGAATCCAGGCATGAAGAAGTGGAGACGAGGGAAGGGCACCATGTTGACAGCCAGTTTTCGGAGATCAGCGTTCAACTGTCCAGGGAATCGGAGACATGTTGTTACTCCGGACATGGTGGCGGACACCAGATGGTTGAGGTCACCGTAGGTGGGTGTGGTCAGCTTCAGTGTCCTGAAGCAGATGTCGTAAAGGGCTTCGTTGTCGATACAGTAGGACTCATCAGTGTTCTCAACCAGTTGATGCACAGACAAGGTTGCGTTGTAGGGTTCGACAACTGTGTCAGACACCTGGAAAAGGAAAACTTTTGATGATTTGGATCAACTGTATAGCCATTTTAAAACTCACAAATACTTATATACAGTGCATATAACACAGACATATTTCATCTCTCTGCTTCTCTGATAACGAAAACCTCATATTTGCTACATCAACAGTCAGAATTTGTTTGTGTCTTGGGTGGAGCTATAAATATATTCCATGACCAGGTATTAATTATGTTAGGTGACTGGAGTGAAATACAGTATATCCTATATTGGGGCATATCAACAAGATGTTTATCCTTCTTATATACCTTTGGTGATGGCACAACTGAGAAGGTGTTCATGATCCTGTCGGGGTACTCCTCCCTGATCTTGCTGATGAGGAGGGTGCCCATACCAGACCCAGTGCCTCCACCCAGGGAGTGGGTCAGCTGGAAGCCCTGCAGACAGTCACAGCTCTCTGCCTCCTTCCGGACAACGTCCAACACGGAGTCGACCAGCTCGGCGCCCTCTGTGTAGTGTCCCTTGGCCCAGTTGTTGCCGGCACCGCTCTGGCCGAACACAAAGTTGTCTGGACGGAAGATTTGACCAAAGGGCCCAGATCGGACAGAGTCCATGGTTCCAGGCTCCAGATCCACGAGGACAGCACGGGGGGACATACTTGCCTCCTGGAAAATGTACATGGTGTTTGTTTTGGTTTTATTTATGTATGTGTAGGCATCGGGCCATCAATATCGTACTTTAATACATCGTGAATTTATGACTGATGAATTTATCTGTCATATTTCTGCCCTCATTATCAAGGACTGTAGATGCGGGTTATACTTAGTAATTGGTCTTCAGCAACCCACGCTTGTCGTATTAGGCGACTAACGGGATCGGGTTGTGAGGGGCTGGCACATTTCATCATATGCCAATTGCGTGCATCGATGTTGTTTATCACTGGATTGTCTGGTCCAGACTCGATTATTAACAGACCGCCGCCATATAGCTGGAGTATTGCTAAGTGTGGCGTTAAACAACAAACAAACAAGCCACTATTACTGTAACATGCAGTAAAATTATACACAACTTCAATACAGAAGTATCCGTTAATATCCGTTAGTATCTTACACACCTGTAGCTTCGTTGTAGTAGACGTTGATTCTCTCTAGTTGTAAGTCGGAGTCGCCGTGGTAGGTGCCGGTGGGGTCAATTCCGTGCTCATCAGAGATCACCTCCCAGAACTGGATTCAAAGAATGAAGTTCAGAACAGAAATCTTACCAAGCAGGTTCAATGCACTGAAATTTTAGTTTAATTTCTCCCTGCAAAGTTTTAATAATCGTGATCCTTGTCTAAGATCTAATGCAGAATTTTTCAGCAAAACGATCTACTGTCGTCTTTTCTTGTTAAAACTACAATCTATCATATTTATACGGGGAATTTTAAAACCCAGCATTCACACACAAATGCCATTTTCGCACAAACATTAACATGATTTCTTTTTTGTTGCAAATGTGATCATGTGTAAAAGTGTTTTCCATTTTCTTTTCATATAAATTCACTTATATTACTTTACCTTAGCTCCGATCTGGTTGCCGCATTGGCCAGCCTGCATATGTACGATCTCACGCATGTTGAATGGTGGCGGAAGGAGGAAGAAGGTGAATGTGAATACTGCAAAAGTCCAGCTGGGCACTTGAGTTGTTACTGACCTCAACAAGACGGATGCTGTTTATATATGATGTCTTGATGTATGCTTGTTTCCGATTGGCTGATGGTTGCCTTGCTGGTAACTACCAACACGATTAGGCTAAATCTGCCCTTAATCACACAATTAAGCCCATTGTGATGGGCGTCTCATTAGGGTGCGCAAATTTGACGAATATTGCTGCCTACATTCAGTTAGAATAATGCTGCTCGGATAGGCTGTCCCTCATACATACATGAATGCATGCATACCTATGTAAGTGTGTATGCAAGTGTTTGTATGTACGTGAGTGGGTGCATGTACGTAAGTGTGTAAGTAAGTCAGTAGGTATGTAAATAAGCAAATGTAAGTAAGTATAAGTGCACATGTGCGTGTCAGAGCCGTGTCTATGTCAAAATGTGTGTAGACAAATATTCATGCATGCATGCGTGTGTGTGTATGCGAGTGTACGTACCCAATCACTTTGCCATGTATACGTACACACCAATATTAAACACGTCTTTTCATCACCAGAATAGCGGCGGTGGAGTAGTCTTGTGGGTAATATTAATGTTTTGGCTCATCACGAAAGAATCTGTTTTAATTCCATCAAGAGTGTGCTGTAACCTATATCTACGGAAGCGTAGTAGGGCCACGGTGAAATTTTTGTGTGTGTCACTATCTCCTACGTAGGAGTTATTAAGTACTACATAGGACATACTATCTCTTACGTAGTACTTAATATCTCTTACGTAGGACATACTATCTCCTACGTAGGACTTAATATATCCTTTTTAAGGTTCGGATTATGAAGTATGGTTATTAAGTTGAGAAATGTTTGGCTATGCAGGACGTTAGATAGTAGTCAGTGAATATTCATGACACTAACGCAGTGTTACTATACAGTGTTATTGTATGTGTTACGTTAGGGTGACGGGGAACCTGTTCTAAGTGCTGTTATTGAGGTTTGGATATGGTTATGTTTAATCGATCGTACATACATCTATTCTCACACACGGGTTATAACACGACCTCCGCAAGTTGTTGCTTGTCTTCAGATGGGGCTAGGTTGGACCAGATGCAACGCTAGTTTGCGGCTCGTTTTTTTCGTAATTGTTTACAGGTTGACTTGACTGGGGTGGAAAAGTGTTGAGTGCGGCGTAAAACAATACGAAATTCAAAAAGGCAAAGAATTGTCATTATAGTTGTTTGTATAATTATAAGGGGATTCGTACACATAGATTACCACCGATAGTCTAAGATACGTCTGTACACGCACATTATGATTCATGTGCAACGACCTCTGAAATATCCAACGCATAATAGTAAAGTGTAACAAAGTGCAACATATAACAGTGAACTAACTTCAACGCGTAATAGTAGAGCAAACTGAACGCAAGGCAGTAAAGTAGAACAGTCGGTCCAACACAGTACCAATGTGCAACAATTAGTTGAACACACGACTCTAATAGTGAAGGAAACAGTAGACTCTAACAGTAAATGAAACACATAACTGTAGACTCTAATAGTGAATGAAACGAATGACTGTAGACGCTAACAGTGACTGAAACAGTGAAACAGGAGATTGTGTGCGTCTCTGGGGATTTAAGTCGACCATTTCAGAATAATGTATATCAACGTATATCGATCATCTCCCACAGGAGATATTAAGTACTACGTAGGAGATAGTAAGTCCTACGTAGGAGATACTAAGTCCTACGTAGGTTCTCCTTCCCAACAGAGCCCACTCCAAATAGAAACACAACACATTCAGAACATTGGAACGGCCGCTCGGCGACACATGGCAGATTTATTCCGTTTTACAAAATCCTCATATAACCACATTCCAGCAAAATTCAGCACTTATAACAAGATATGTACATCACGCAACTTGCAATACGACATCATGTTCAGTAGAACTAGCCCGCCACATAAACCAGAGATAACAACTCATACATGAGAAAAAACTCTGGAACTGTGCCCTCCCGACGAATGCTAAAGTTCTTACTAGGAAGTTTATAGTATTTACAACATGATGCAAAATGAAACAAACATTGTCTCACCACAGGACAACAATGTCATAACAGTATTCTCAAGGCTCTGCAGCCTAGTTTGCAAAACATTGCTGCTCATAATATACTAACCATTATAATACATTCAATGTATAACAGGATATTATAAAGGCTTCGCAGCCTGGCATGTTAATCAAACAAAGTCACAACAAATCAGTGTTATAAAGGCTCTGCAACCTAACCATACACGGTAGAAAATATGAGCAAATCAGCTCTACATACCAAACTTGGTTTACTACCCATGAAGATAACAGGAATTAAACCTGTTTACAAAATTCATCAAGTGCACATAAATCAGACAGCAAACAATGCTCACAAGCACCACACTGTGCTTAATTCACAACCATCACGGTCAAATACAACCACCACCTGCAACAATAAAACAAAATATGAGATATTATGCATATGAAATATAGATATATACATATATACATGAAATTAAAGGAAATAAAAGTTAAATGATGTGAACACTGCCGTGTCTAGAGCGAGAGAGACGATATTTGAAATTCCCTCTCCATTTATACCTTAAACAGCGCCACCTGTCGGACAAAATTACCTCCCTTGGTAGATTCGCATACCACCAAGGAGAAAATAGTTTCTATCTAATTCATTTCATTCAACAGAAAGAAACAATATTTCTCCTTCCCAACAGAGCTCACTCCAAATAGAAACACAACACATTCAGAACATTGGAACGGCCGCTCGGCGACACATATAGAGATTCAAAGAAAGTCAAAGGCCTAAAGAAAGTGAAACGTTTAAACGTTTTTGGAGATCATCTTTGATGTAGCCATCTTTGGCATTTTCACTCCTCCATCTACCGTGTCTTTTAAACATTCTGTCCGGAACACCATTATTCGCTGCTGCCGAAGCCCCTCCACTGCGAAGGCTATGTAAGCCATACACTTTAATATTGGAAACAAATGGTTCAAGCGCCTCTGTGAAAATCTCTCTCAGGCGAGTATAAGACAAAGGTCGATCATCCTTTCTTAATCTATAACCAGAATTGGTCTTTGTTAAACTCCTAAAAATATATTCACTAGACTCAGAATCAATATTAGCTGCTTCCAGATACTTCTCCATACACACAACCGGACATAACTTGGAATTAGTCCTACTAATCACCAACCACGAACCGTCCCTATAAACGTCTGTCTTGGACTGTTCAATGAAAATCATGATGTGAGTATCATAAAAAACAACATCTTGTCTTGTAATATGCAAAAGCTCAGCTGATCTTAAGAATCCTGCATAAGCTATAAGGCACATACATATAACTCTAAAACTACTAAGGGTTGGTGAAACAAAACAAAAGTCATACAATTTTTCTAACAAATCAATAGTAATTGGTTCTTTTTTAGAAACATACCTGGCTAACTTTCGTTTAGCCGCCTCTAACACGTTTCTTACCAAACTATTCTCAGTAGGACTAGGTAGACCTACAACAACATGAGCATAACGAATGCTGTAAAACGCAGTTTGCACCGGGGCGAACGAATCACATCTCTGAACAACAGATACAAGATATATTGAGCAATGTAATGGTGACATAGGCAATTGATAAGGCACATCACAAGAAAGGGCCCACCGTTTCCATGCTGCAATACCATAACGGTATTTCCGTGCCGTAGAATCAGCCCTACAGTGAGACAACAACGCAGGTAATTCGTCAGCTAAACTCCTCACACCACTTGGCAACCTCTCCAACTCATCTCCATAAGCATTGGACAACAAATCTGTAAACAGAAACGTGAAATTAGATAATGCTGAAATCAACAAACAATGCTAACATATCAAAATCCAAATCACGTTCGCCAAAGAGGCCTCCTTTAACCCTAGACGCAACATAGGCTTGTTTAGATCTGGAAAGGTACATCACATCCTTCACTTGGGGAATAAACTCATAATTATGAGTAATAAGAGGCCAAAAGCATGCCGAGTGCCACTCTGCCACAATAAGGGTGCCCTTAGCTTTACTTTCTGCCAAATGTCTAAGGCACCTGGGGACTAAGGCATCAGACACACGGGGAACAAGCCAGTTAAGAACACCACCCCAGTTAACAGTGAAACAATCAACAGCATCACAACCAGGATTATAAAATCTGGAATTAAAGCATGGGAGCTTGGTATTATAAACCGAAGCAAATCTGTCCACACTATGGGGTCCCCATTTAGCATCTATCTGCTTGAAAATATAGCTTGGAATGGACCAGTCATCATAGTCAACAATTTTACTTAGCATATCCGCTGTCTCGTTATCAGAACGAGGTATCCACTGCATAAGTAAAATCACATGGCGAGAGAAACACAGTTTGAAGATATCCAGCACAACCGCCTGGAGATGAGGTTTCATGCTCCCTTTCTCCACTATTGACGTAATGTTCTTGTTATCTGTAAGCCACATTACTTTGTGTGAAGACAGGCTGGGAATAAAGCTTTTCAACACAAAGTGCACTGCTTGAAGTTCTCTCCAAGTAGAACTCGACTTAGCTTCGTCATCTGACCACTGACCATGAGATATAGCTTGACCAAACTGCACACAATAGCCCCCAAAACAAGAGCCACTCGCATCACTGTACACAACTCGCGTTGCAATAGATTTTGTCTTTAGCACAGTACTTGAGTAAGCATTAATATGCGTCAACCAAAATGTCAATTGATAAACACTTTGAGAGGATAGCTTCACTTTGCTGCTCCAAGATGACACAGATATGATATCCATACTGAGCGATCTAGTCATAAGTTGAGCAATTGGGCCTGTCACCATCTTCATTGATACTACCTGCCCAACGACTGAGGCCAGTGACCTAACACTCTGATATCTATGCTTATGCGTAAGTAGATACTGAATGTCTGAAATTAACTTATCCCTCTTTCTCTGTGGGATAGACAATACCATGGAAACAGTGTTAATATGGAATCCTAACCACTCAAGAGACTGGGCGGACGACCATAACGACTTTTCAACTTTAGGGACAAAGCCTGACCCTATCAAATCTTCTTTCACCCTTTCACCTGTAGAATTGGCGTTATCAGAAGAGGAAGCAGATAAAATACCGTCGTCTAAAAATGTTACTATTTTCTTGCCCTCATACCGCCATTTCTTAACAAGTTGACGCATAACTTTAGTAAATACATATGGAGCAGATGTAAGCCCAAATGGCATAACCAAGAACTTATAATAGCGATTCTCCCCTGTCGAATCTCTCCATGAGAAACCGAGATAATTTGTGTGATGATGACAAATATCGATATGGTGATAGGCCGAGTGGATATCGAATTTGATAAGCCAGTCATTCATGTTTATGTACTCACAAGCCACTTTCCAATCTTCATACTTGACACTCTTCTTCTGAACATAATTGTTAACTCTAGATAAATCCAAGATCAAACGTTTTTTACCAGTTGACTGAATGGCAACAGACAATGGATTAACAACGTATGGAGGAAACTCGCACTCCGATATCAAATGCTTGTTCTTTAAATCAGATATGGCGCCATTCACAAACTCCACATGCTTTAACGCTGAACTGTTATTGCACAAATGCATACTCGGAGGTCTGGAAATAAAAGGAATTTTGTAGCCATTACCGATTATATCAAGGATGTAATCCGAGGTACCAATATCACACCAAAAGTTCAAGTTAGCTTTTAAACGACCCTTGACTAATGATTTCTGCTGTGCCCTGTTCATATTCAAAATAATTGTCAGTAAGCATACGATGTGTCACATTAACATCGATCTCAGAGATATTAGAATCACAAAACAACTTAACTGACAAATCTTTATCCGCATAGTCATTAGGACGTGACTGTCGACGTGACGCCTGCTCCTGTGACAGGTCGTGACGACTGCGAGCTGCTTGCTCGGTAGGGGCATTCTCTGAAGTAGTGTGAAAAGTCGCCACAGGAAAAGCAGGATCCTTGTCTCTGACCTCTGACCCCACGAAAGGGCTGAATTGGCTGAATCGGTTGAGTGTGTACAGGGCTGCTAACAGGAAGAGTGTACTGCACGGGTGAAGGCGTAATTTGCGATCTTCGCACACTCTTGGATGCATAGGGACCATTCTTATTTCTCTTTTTGTTTAACTTTTTTAAAGCTTTAAAATCTGCTTTAGCGATCTTCCTATCGTCGTCTGTGTCGTCTCCTAACTCATTGGAGACGTAATTACGTACGGTCTCCCACCCACCCTCAGAGGAATCAGCGATTTTGATTAACTTGTTTCTTTTTTGTAATCTACTTACTTCTTCGTCAATGCTCATAGAAGCCTTTGTCAAATCTCCAGATACTAAAGCTTGTTTAGCCAAAGTCAAACCGTCTAATACGTCCGAATTAAAGTTAAACTGTATTTTGTTACTCTCTCGGAACCAGGAGTATTCGGACTCTGCTTTTAATTTCTTTATATCTTTGGCGTTGTGGATGAACTCCTCTCTCAGCTTAGAAATCTTATGATCGAAGGCTGACTCAATCTCTTGTCGGTTAGTATCCAACTTCTCTAAGATGGCGTCCAATTTTCCCGCCGTAGAAGAGTTGTCATCCATATTAGAAATGATGTGAACACTGCCGTGTCTAGAGCGAGAGAGACGATATTTGAAATTCCCTCTCCATTTATACGTTAAACAGCGCCACCTGTCGGACAAAATTACCTCCCTTGGTAGATTCGCATACCACCAAGGAGAAAATAGTTTCTATCTAATTCATTTCTTTCAACCGAAAGAAACAATATAGATAAGTGATACATGCTACAAAGTATCTCCTACGTAGGACTTAGCATCACCTACGTAGGACTTAGGACTTCTACATAGGAGAAAATAGTCCTACGTAGGAGATAGTAAGTCCTACGTAGGAGATAGTAAGTCCTACGTAGGAGATAGTACGTAGGAGATAGTATGTCCTACGAGATACTACTTCCTACGTAGGAGATATTAAGTCCTACGTAGCAGATAGTATGTCCTACGAAGGTGATATTAAGTACTACGTAGGAGATACTAAGCCCTACGTAGGAGATATTAAGTACTACATAGGAGATAGTAAGTCCTACGTAGGTGATATTAAGTACTACGTAGGAGATACTAAGCCCTACGTAGGAAATATTCAGTACTACGTAAGAGATAGTATGACCCAAAAAAAGTTTTCACCATGGCGTTGTTTTGTGTTTCTGTTTTCGGCTATGAAATGTACGAATGGGCTTCACAATTACAATAAATATTGTATGCCAAGTACCCAGTTGTGTCCTAATGGAAGTGGGGCGGTGGGGTAGCGTAGTGGTTAAGGCGTTTGCACGTCACGCAGAAGACCTGGGTTCGATTCCCCACATGGGTACACTGTGTGAAGCCCATATCCCGCAGGGATATTGCTGGAATATTGCTGAAAGCGGTGTAAAACCAAACGCACTCACTCCCAATGGTAGTATGGGAATATGAATGGGAATATAACAAGTGTCAGTTTTGGTCATTGAGGTAATACGTCAGTATATGTACACATATCTAGGGATTTTATTTTATTGATTAGAACATTTGAACATAACATACACTGTAAAGTATAATCAAACTCAGCGAGTAGAGTATTCTCATGAATTCAATCCAAATGTATAGTACATTTACAAGACACTATGAAGAAGGTGTTCAGTCCTTATCAGTACATGAATATATAGCAGCATTCATTCCATACACACCAGAGCGTGTCACACGACTTTTTTTCTTCCCGAATAGGCAATTAAATTTATATAACATTAGCAGTAATAAGAAAAAATAAATACACAAAAATTACATTAACATATATCTCGAACTGGAGAATTTGTGGAGAGTCCTACCATAAATTAGTGTACGCGGTGTCAACCAGCTGTCTGAACTTGCTTGTAACCTTGCTGCCATACCACGGGTGGAATTGATGATGAATACGCTGACAAAATATGAAAGACCCGGAAAGCTAAAATATGCCCAATAATGTGAAATGTAAGCACATTTGTATTTTAGTACACGAGGCATTTCTGAAGTCATCGTTAATTAAACATTGTTTGTTTT